AGCTGCCTGAGGGCAAGCTGCCTGAGGGCAAGCTGCCTGAGGGCAAGCTGCCTGAGGGCAAGCTGCCTGAGGGCAAGCTGCCTGAGGGCAAGCTGCCTGAGGGCAGGGACTGCAGTCCTCTACACCCAGCACAGGGCTGGGGCTGGTGCATGTTCAGGAAGCAGTCTCTGCAAGAAACTCTTGGAAAAGACCATGAGCTGTTTTAAAGGATATATTTGTAGCATTTTTTTTTCTTTTGAGATTTCTCAAGAAATAATGGACAGGGCTACTTGGCCTAAGATAATTGAAATCTCTCCCTCTCCCTCCTGCCACTGTCTCTGTCTCTGTCTCTCTCCCTTCCTCTCTCTCTCTGCCTCCCTCACCTACTTACTCTCTCTGTCTTTCTCCTTCCCCTGTCTCTCTCTTTCTCTATCTCTCTCTACCTCTCTCTTTCTCTCTATTTCTTTTCCTCATTCTCTCCTTGTCTGTCTCCCTTTCTGCCCTGTCTCTCCCCCTCATCTCTCTGACTCTGTCTCTCTCCCTTTGTCTCTGTCTCTCTCTCTCTGTCTCTCCCTTTCTCCCCCGTCTCTATGTCTGTCCTTCTCTCTGTTTGCCTCTTTCTGTCTCTATATGTCTCTCTCGCTGTCCTTGTCTCTTTCTGTTCCTGTCTCTCTCTGTCCGTGTTTTTCTCTGTCCCTGTCTTTACGTCCCTGTTTCTCTTTGTCACGGTCTCTGTCTCTCTGTCCCTCTCTCTCTTTGTGACTTTCTCTCTCTCGCTCTGTAACTCTGTCTCTGTCTCTGTCTCTGTCTCTGTCTCTTTCTCTCTGTCTCTCTCTCTCTCTTTCTTTCTTTCTCTCCTCCCCTTCTCTCACTTCCTTCCTCCTTTTGCATTCTATTTTCAGCTCCTACTTCCACTTCTTCCATCTGGCAAACGCCCTGTTCCAATGATGTGACACCATCAGAGTGACCAAAAAACCAAAATTTAAAAAAAAAACCCTAACTGAAATAATATCGCATCTTGAAAAGTGTCAGGGTAAAAAACTGAAACCTGAAGCTGACTCTTGTCAACCCGGGACCAGGGCTAACCAGAGTTCTTGACTGTTACTAATTCTGGTCAGATCTCCCAAAGAGTAATCTGGACTGCTTTCAAGTCACAGACTCTAAACTTTCTGCCTCTCGGCCTGCCTTCTGTATTTTCTGGGCATGTCTGAAATGAAAAGGTGGCCATCGTCTGGACGTTGGCTCTGTTATTTCAGAGGTAAATAGTATAATCCTCGTGTCTCATTTGCTAGTAATACTTTTTACATCAAATACTTCTTCAATGTCAGGAATGATGTAGAAATTAGACTGTTTAAATTTCATCTTCCCCTCTTGATCTGGTGAATGGACCTGGATTCAAATCCTAGCTCTGACAGCCACTACATCTGTGTTCTTGGGTAACTCATCCAGCCTCGCCGATCCCTCAGTTTCCTCATCTGTAAAATGTGTAAGTGGGAGGCTAGAAACATTGAGCATTGATTTTCTCCTTCATTCTCTGGAGTTGTTTTCAGCCTCTAATCTAGATGTGTATGTGTGTATTATTGTTATAATAATAATAACAATTATTGTCATCATCATCATGATCATCATTATTATTATCTGTGAATTTGTTGATATAGGAAACTGCCAGCATGAAGAATAGAGCCTGACAGTGCTTGTTTATTAAGTGATCAATTGTCCAGAAATTCCATCCACCACTGCAGAGAATAATAATAATAATAAATAACAACAACAACTAGAATTTCTAGAGTTTAAGTTATAGATGTTTTTTTTTTTTCAGCCAAAGACAAGGTTTATTAAAGATCCACCACATTGGCCAGACTCTTAAGGAATCTGAGCACCTGTGAGCTATTGTTAAGTTATAGTTTGAGGTTTGTAAAGCACTTTATTTGGGTTATCTCATTGGGTCTTCACAATAATCCTGGGAGGTAGGTGCTATTATTATCCCCCTTTTACATATGAGGAAACTGAGACACAGAGAGATTAAATGACTTGCCCAGGGTCACACCACTAGTAAATGTTTCAGACAGGCTTCAAACTCCAGTCTTCCTGACTCCAAGTGCAGATATGCAACTAGTCAGCTACTAAAACTGTGGTCAGAATGTTGAGCTATCAAGCTATTTGCCCAAGATTCCTCAGTTCATCTATGTCAGAACCCACATCTCCTTGACCCCCAAGATTGGCCCTTTAGCACATGCTGCCCTGCCTGGGTTTGTGTCTTCCAGTTTAAATCATGTTCTCTTGAGCTAATGTCATCTTCAGACACATTTGAGACATTTAGCAGACTTCTGATAACAACTTCCATCTCATTCCACCCTCCCGGAGCGTTGAGAAAGGCATGCGATTCCTTCCTGTCGGCTGCCATCCATTGCTGAAATAGCCGCCTCAAAGGCCCTTTGATGCACCCTCTTTCCTTTGAACTGCTAAGAGAACATGTCTGTTGAAACATCAGTTTTCCCTCATCCTAGACACCAGAGTCCTTTGTCTGTCTGAAGCAGAGTTATCCCTGTACTGACAACTGCTCTCCCTTTGACGGGGGAAATCAGGTGAAAATGAACATTGAAGGCAACCTTGAAGGGAGAAAGAAAGCTAGGAAAGGAAAATTTGCAAGCTTGGTGGATTGAGGTGCAGCAAGTAGAGCACCCAGCCTGGAGCCAGGAAGGCCCTGAGTCCAAATCCAGCCTCAGCCACTTACCTAGTGTGACCATGGGTGATTGTGGTGGTGGGGGTGGTAGTGGTGGTGATAGTTATTGCTGTTGTCGAGTTATTTCACTCATGTCCAACTCTTCATGACCCCGTTTGGGATTTTCTTGGCAAAGATACTGGAGTGCAGTGCCTCAGTTTCCTCACCTGTAAAGTGAGCACCAACCTCCCAAGGTTGATGTGTAGGTCAAATGAGATAATAATTATAAAGCACTTGGCTTATTCCCCTTCCCCCTTATGGACGTGACATTACCAGTATCACCTGCTTTTCCTTGATGATAGGAGGATGTTGTGAGCAGATTAGATCTCTGTGGGCCTCCAGTGTATTTGCTCCTCAGCCGATACTTCCAAATTCTATATTTAGCTTCTCAGAATGACTTTCCTAGATGGTCCATGTACTAATCATTCCTTCAATGGAAAGGGTTCTAAACCTGGATCTGGTGATAGATTTCAAGGAGTCTATGAACTTGGATAGTAAGAAACTTTACTTATATCTCATGATAACTGGTTGCCTTTGTAATCTTATGTGCTCTATTTTATGCATTTAAATACAAGATTCTGAGAAGGAATCACCAGAACGCCCATGGAGTCTGGGACATAGAAAAGGTTAGGAACTCCTCATCTCTGGGTTCCTCAATGCGTTTTCTCAAAGGATCCCCAAGACAGTAAGGGCTATGGTTAGTCCAGCTCAGGGGAGGAAGCAGTAGATTGGGAAAAGGAAACCCCCACTTCTGATTCTGCCCCTAATTATATGCACCAGCTTTTAATGAATGCTGACCGAACAAAGGAATAACTGGTGCTAACTCTTATTTCCATAATGCCCTAAGAATTTCAAAGCATCCTGGGATGTAAAATTGTTACCGATCTTGCTTTAAAAATGAAGAAACTCAGGTTCAGCAGAGTTAAGTGACTTGTGCATGGTTACATGGTTTGGAGGTGTTGAAATGGGGAATTTGAACCCAGATCTCCTGGTTCCAAGTTCAGCAGTCTGGCTATACTGTCATTCAGATATATGAATGAATCAGAACGGATGAACAAACCAACTCACTGTGTGACCTTGGGCATGTCATTTCAGTTCTCTGGTCCCCAGTTTTCTCATCTGAAAAATGAGAGGATTGGACTAGATGACCTGAGGGGATGGACTAGATGAACATCCCTTTCATGGCTGACATTCTTTTGCTTTGTGATCCTGTGTTGGTCCCAATATACAGTTCTCTCTTATAATAGTCCCACCATGGCACTGTCCAATGGTTTAAAGCCTTCAGATACTGAAGTAATTCTATGGTCCAGGCCAAGATTTCCATCCATCTTCCTAAAGCTTTCTGTATCGTGGGTGATAGGCAAAATTACATAGTGGAGAAAGTGTGAAGTTTGGCCTTAGGAAGCCCTGGATTCAAATTCTGCCTGATACTTGGTAGATATGTGACAATAAGCAAGTCATTGAACCTCATCATGGTTTAATTTCCTCATCTATAAAATGGGGTTAATACAGCTGTAGTCCCTACTTCATAGAGTTGTTGTGAGGGTAAAAAAGAGACAACATATGTAAAGTGCTGTATGAATGTCAGTTTTGAATGACTTGTTCAAACTCCCCCTTTCCTTGATGAATGAGATTGTCAGCTAAGATTGAAGTTCAGGCTTTCTGTGATGAAAGAGGAATTCTGCATGTGTATTTAGGAGAAAAATGATCATCAGAAATATTCCCCAAATCCATAACAACAGCCAATTTTATAATATATACATATATAATCTATAATATATTTCATATACGTGCATATGTCTATATGTGAGTATGTAGTTATTCAGTCATGTCTGATGCTTCAGGACTCCACATGGGGCTTTCTTGGCAAAGATAATAAAGTAGTTAGCCATTTTGTTCTCCAGAGGATTAGGCAAACAGGTTCAGTGACTTGGTCAGGGTCACACAGCTAGTATGTGTCTGAAGCCAGATTTGACCTCAGGTCTTCCTGGCTCCAGTCCCAGTGCTCTATCCACTAAGTCACTTAGTTTCTTTCTTTCGTGTATGTATGAGTGTGCATGCGTACGTGTAGACACATATATGTATCTATGTTGAGTATCTTAAGGCTTTAAAACATTGAACAGTGTCATGACAGGGATATTGTGAGAGAAGAATGTATATTTGGGACCTGTGTGTGTGCGTGTGTGTACAACGTATGTGTGTATATGTGTATGTATGTGTGTGTATGTATATATATATATGTATATATGTATGCGTGTATAATCAGAGCATGCTCTAAGGATTGGATTCTTACCCAATTACTCTTGTCTTTACTCCTACTAAACTATAGAGTCTTATGGTTACTATTTGTTTGACTTCAGGCAAGTTCCTTAACTTCCCTTGGCCTCAGTTTCCTCATCTGTAAAATGGAGGAGAGAGTGGCTTAGCTGGCCTCTGAGGACCCTGGTTAGCTCTTGGTCTATGAGCCTATGACTGAGTCTGATTCATTGTTTCCCCCACGGAATCTAGAACAGGAAATTGCTGCTCTAAAAACACTGGAAGGGCACTCTGGAATGGGTGGCGGCTCCTTGGGATTCATATACATACTCCAGAATTGGGTTGAATTTGCACTTTATCTCCGGAGAAGCTAACAGCATTGTAAAGAAAGACTGATACTCAAAGCAATGATCACTGGGTCATGTCTGCCTTCATTTGGATTTGAGAGCAGCAGTGTGGTATAGTCAAAAATTGGCTTTGGAGTAAAAGGGACCCAAGTTCAAATCCTACTTCTGACACTTGCTACCTTTGTGACCTTGGGCAAGTCACCCAACTTCTCTCAGCCTCAGTTTCCTCATCTGTAAAATAAGGGAATTGTACCAGATGGCCTCCAAGGGCCCTTCACATTCTAGATCTGTGATTCTATGATGCTTCAGTTATGTGCCCTTATCTGTCCTCACAGTTCAGTCATTGTCATGAGTGATTGTGGCTCTCACATTTAAATGTTGTCCGAGAGAGATTGTACTCTCCACTGAGCCTCTCACCTCCAACAGCCATTGTTTTAGCCCTCTGCTCATACTGGAAGACTTAGAGTTAAGTCTGCCTGGTTCTAATCTGTGATTTCACCACAGTGCTGATCTCTCAGTAAAGAAATTCCTTCTCTTCTGGAGATCAGTAATTTAGAGGGTTGTTTGGGCCACTGAGAGGTTGCAACTTGCCCAGAATCACATATGGAATAAATCTTAGAAGCAAGGTTTGAACTAGGTTTTCTTGACTTTAAGCCCAAAACCATAGTCACTATCCCACACTGCCTCTCTTCGTTAAAATGTATACAAAGTTGTATAATATATCATAATTAACACATTATTTAATTAATATAGATGATGTGCTATTTTATTACTAGGTAGGATCAATATATTATTTAATATGATTAATTAATATTAATACAACAATATATTTAATGATAAAATGATATTTAATAATTTAATATATTAGAATATGTAACATAAAGTTACCAACTTCTCAAATGCTAAATGCCAATGTAGTCATCATTTAAAGCATTTCTGAAAGTACTCCAAGTAAACATCTGGTTCTTTGTACTTACCAAGGTATTGCCATGGCATGGTCAGTGTAGATAGTAGACTGATGCTTTGATGTTCCAGGAGGGAGTAGCATACGTGTAATGTTGTGTAGTTTCATCATCTGGCATCTCTGGTAATGGCGCAGATAGACTGTCGGTACAAGAATATCTTCCTGGGTATGAGGCTCCCAAGAGGGAGAATCATTTTAGACTTTGGCTAATCAAAAGTCTTAATTTGAATAGATTAATGGGGAGCTTTTTGAAAAAGACTGACTATGCATTTCAGAAGAGAAGCTCCTCAGATGCAACTTCTTTAATTTATAAGATCACAGGACTGTGGGAGGGGGTGAAGGAAAGAAACAGAGGAGAGGGGGAGGGGGACAGGGGGAGAGAGAGAGATGAAAAAAGGGAGCAGGGGAGGGGGAAGGAGGAGAAGGAGAGAGGGGGGAAGAAGAGAAAAGGAGAGGGAGAGAGACCAGGAAAGGGGAAAGAGAGTTTCAGAATTGGAAGGGATCTCGGCAGCTGGCAAATCCATTGCCTCTTACTTAAGAGTTTTGAGTGATCCAGATATGTGGAAATCAGGATTTCAGGAAATCAGAGAAAGGTTAGAGAAGAGAAGACAGTTTAGCCACGAGAATTTGGCAAGTTATATGAAAGAGGGATTAGAAAGAAGTATGCTCAGCTCCAAAAGTTAGAACTAGAAAGTAGTGAGTGGAGCTCGTAGAAGAAAACTGAGGAGGCATGACTGGAAATACTCACAACTAGAACTGACCAGAAATGGAGTAAAGCGTCTTGGGGGGAAGTGTTTCTCCCTCCCTGGAAGTCTTCAAACAAAGACCGAGTGGGCACTTGTCGAGTTTACCATGAAAGAGATTCTGATTCCGGTTGAGGTTGAATTAGGTGGCCTCAGGTCTCTTTTAACTGTGACAAAAATTCCATAACTTCTCACCAGGACTTCCTTCCTGGTGACTCAGTTTGTCACCCAACAAATAATGGGTGCAGTACAATTCTGATTTCCCAAAATTTCCACCCAGTTTCCTGTCATTGCCTAACCCACTCCACACCCCAGTTCCTTCCTGTTAAGCTATAGTCTAATCCCCTTACCTGTTTGATCAATTGTCCCACTATAATTCCGGCTTATCCTTCATTTTCTTCCCGTCCCCCAAATAGCTTAGATCATCTGGAAGAATAGGGGGGAATAGAGGAATAGAGGGGAAATAGAAACTCCCATATGACTCAGGCTATCCCTGTTTCCTCCCCCTTTTCTGCACATAGACAATTTGGGACTGTATGTTACTCCTATTGATAAGAGACAACCCTAACCAGCATAAGTGAAGAAACTGGGAGAAATCAAAACTAACAGTAGAAGTACCAGTGAGAAATCCCAAGCCTGCAATTACCCCCTTTTGGAGCCCCCATTGAAGTCCAAGGAAGCCTTTGGTGCTGAATAAGGTCATAAGAGACCCACCATTAACTTCTGTTTTCAGCAGCGTTGAGTTCAGTTGAAAAGGAGGCGTTTCTAACTCTTGAACCAAGGTTTGTGTAAAGTGTTAATACATCATCTGAGAAAGGCCTGACATTCCACCCTATCCTTTGAACTCCTTCCCATAAACAAAAGCATGAAAGACACAGGCATGTGGGACTGACCTTGATATTTCTGAGAGCATACAGGCAAAGATTACATTGTTTGGGAATCAAATGGGAAAAAATGGGGAGTAGGGTGGGAGAGAGAAAAAGGGAGGGAGGAAGAGAAGGAGTGAGATAAAGGGAAAAACATTTAAATTCCTGCTATATGCCAGGCACTAAATGCTGAGGATGTAAATGAGAGAAAGAAGTGTGTGTGTGTGTGTGCGCGTGTGTGTGTGTGCGTGTGTGTGTGTGTGTGTGTGAAAGAGAGAGAGAGAGAGAGAGAAAGACAGAGAGAGAGAGACAGAGAGACAGAGAGAGAGAGAGAAGAAAAGAAACCAGTTGGGATTTTTTCCAGATATGGAAAGCTTTCAGAATTCTGTTGGCTAATGAGGAGGCTATTTCAGCAGTGGGTATAAAATGTTCCTCAGAGACAGCATTCCCTGATAAACTTCCATTAACACACTTGGCTGAATTTAGCTGGTTTTTATCTGTGACATGAATAGATGCACAGAGAGGTGTCTTGGAAAGGATTTGAAAAAAAAATTTTTTTTTCAAATCTGGAGAGGTTTTCCTAAAATTTTAGTATCTGGTCTTTGCCTTTATTTGATCATTTAAAAAAAAAACAACTAAGAAAATAGATCTGTTAAAAAAAAAACAACAAAAAAAATGAACAGTTTCCGTAGCAGCTGCCTCTCTTCCTTAGTACTTTAGAAATCAAGACTTAAAAGAAAAGTGTTTGCCATCAGATTAGCTATCTTGAAAATTTCCTAATCTTTTATAGGTCTTAACCAAATGGAAACATGAATGATCCTTAAGCACGCATTCCTTTTCTAAAGCAGCTTCTGTTCAAGCCAAATGTATAGTTACATACACACAGAAAGAGAGAGAGACAGAGAAAGATAGAGACAGAGAGAGGGAGAGACAGAGACAGAGATTGAGGCTAAGCCAAATTTTAGAGCTCTTGAAGTATCAAATTGGGAAGTCATTCAGATTTTATCTTCCGGCTGTCTACGTTTTTCTTTTTGTATCCCTAGCACTTAACCCAGTGACTGGCACAAAATGTTAAATGTTTTTTAATTCATTCCTTCATTTAGTGTGACTCACTTTGTTACTGAATTACCTGCATTGGTTATTGTCAATGACAACACTGACATGAATAGTTTCCCCCACAATCTGTGGCCTGAATAGGGATCTTCACATTTCAGCGACTCCGGAGGTTGTCTTTCAATTGAGAATTATTCATAGATAGAGCACCATCGAATGTCAAGTTTGCCAAGATATGTGTTGGATAGTTTAATCCTACTTACTTTTTATGAATGAGTATTTGGTAAATGAAACAATTCAACTTTAACATGGTGTTGGACAAAACATTTTGAGCATGCTTGCATTCTGCCTTGGAGTATATTTTGCTCAGTCTGAAAAGCGTGCTAAGCTCTGTTCCAACAGCACTAAGCTTTTTGACTTTTTCTGGTTTCTGCTACCCATTTTTTTCTGGTCTTTGGTGACGTCTTCATGAGACCACAATTGGTTGGATAATGAGGGACCCAATCAACCAATTATTTAGGAAGAGAAAATTGGTTTGATGGACTGGGTGATGAAACTGAGCCATTCCTAAGCCATTACTGCATGATCTGATGGATAGGGTCATTTAAATGCTGCAAGATCATATTTTTATTTTCCATTCTCATACAGAAATAACCAGAAAAACTAGCTTAAACATACTCAACAACATTAATCTAGCTCGCCCGTCCTGTATGGAGACAACTTTTATCTCAGTTTTCTTTGGAACACCAAGGAGAGCCATTCCTTGCATTCTGGTTACAGAAATATTGACTTCCTTCAGTGCTCTTTTTTCTCTCAAGCTACAAGAATCTCAGACTCTTTTAAGTCATAGTTTCAACAAGCACACAGCATCTCCCTACGATCAGGACATGGGGACTTTGCTTTAGCATGGACATGGAGAGTAGGCACCTCCTTTCTCTCCTCTCGCTTTGGAACCCAGGATTTCAAGACTGGAGGGGGGGACCTTAGTCTTTATCACATGCAACCTCTACAGGTTATACATGATAAAAGTGAAGTTCATGAAAGTGGAATAAATTGAGATTAAGCTGTTGGTTAATGGCTAAATTAGGACAGGGAAGCTAGGTGGTACCATGGTGCATAGAGCACTGGGCCTGGTCAGGAACACCCTTCTTCCTGAGTTCAAATCTGGCCTCAGACACCCACTAGCTGTGTGGCTCTGAGCAAGTCACTCAGCCCTGTTTGCCTCAGTTTCCTCATATGTAAAATGAGCTAGAGAAGGAAATGGCAAATCGCTTCAATTTCTCTGCCAAGAAAACCCTAAATGGGGCCATGAAGAGTCAGACACAACTGAAAAATGACTTAACAACAACAAAACAAAAACCTGGACAAGAGCTCCGTGATTTCCTCAGTCACCAGAATATGCCTCGAAACAAATCCAATGACCAAAAGTGATCTAAATATTATGAGAAGATAGCTGAGGAGAAAATACAACATTACTTAGTCTATTAAGAAATAAAGGCCTAATTAAAAGTAATTTTTTTTATTTTCTAAGAGCTACAGTTAAAAAGTGTATATATGTGGGGGTCCCCAGCTTTTAACATGCATAGTTGGTAACTGCTTTATCTATTTTACATGAGGCTGTGTAGCATAGCAGACAGAGAAAGCTGGTTTCTCCATCTGGAAGACAGTTCAAGGCCTGCTTCTGACACATAATGGTGGTATGATCCTGGGCAAGTTAATTTATCTTTTAGCATTCTAGAGAATTCTCTAAAACTATGAGGTGTTGAAAAGGTATCAGTTGGCAGTAACAAAAGGAGTTTTCTCCTTCAGAAGTTCTATATGCAAATGAAATCACAGGTCCATTCCCCGTCTTTAATATTGTATGTAGTTTCCTTTGTCTCCATAGAAAAAGACATTATTTTTCTATTATAGGTTAATTTAAGCACTAGAGTCAGAAAGAGATAGGGAATGAGAAAGAAGATTTGGAGGGAAGGGAATGACCCTTGAAATCTACTGAACGACATTTTCCCATATTCCTCCTCTTTCTTACTCATTTCACTCCAAAAGGGAAGTAGGGAGGGGCTGATGATATTGAAAATAACACGCAATGAAAACTTGAACCAGCCAGCTTATAAGCAGGCTTTTAATGACTTCTGTAATCCTTAATGAGGACATGGAAGTTGAGGCTCATGGTGCATTCATCTGGGGAAAGCAGTCTCGTAATTCTACAGGAACCTGTCATCTGAAATTCTTGTCCTGGCTCCACAAACCCTTTGATTCCTAAACCTTCCAGAGGAGCCTAAGCTGAAATCAGAGTCCCGTTGCTTGGGGTCGGTCGACATGTCAGACGTGGTCACATTTGAAAGGGTTCAATGAACCTGCAGATTGAGGTGGAAATGAGGGGCCTCACTGAACGAGTTTGGCACTGACTTACCTGCTCAGTGTGCCTCTGGATTCTTAGGGTCCTTTTCTCCTCATTTTCTTCGGATTCCAAACTATAGGCTTTAGAGACTCAGAGCTTTTTTCCTTTGGAAGATGGCTGAGAAGATCCTTTCAGATATTTAACAAGGATGTAGCAAATGTGCATTTATAAAATGGAACCATTACCCAACTCATGAAGCAGGCAGAAGTTCATTCGTTCATTCCTTCAACAAGCATTTATTAAATGCCTACTATGTGCTAGGCCCAGGACTAGGTTCTGGGGTTACAAAGACAAAAACAAAAACAAAACAAAAAGAAACACTTGGAACAGTTCCTGCCCTCTAGACACTTAACTTTTCTTCCTCTTTGAAAAGCAAAGAGAATGAGCAGTTAGTAAGGGACATAAGATTTTCATGTTAGTGTTAGGAGGGACCTTGGAGGCCCTTGAATCTAATCCTCTCATTGTGCAAATGAGAAAAGGCTTGCCCAGGATCACACCGCTATAAGTGTCTGAGGCAGGATTTGAATCCAGGCCTTGCTCTGTCCATTACACCAAAGTGTAATCTTTGATCGAAAGGATTTTCTTATGATTAAAGACGAGTGTTAATCATGCCTCATGCTTGATTGCTGCTGTTTTGCCAAAACTTAAAAAGAAATAAAAGCAATTCCTGTTGGGCCAAGGATTCATTTCAGCCAGGCTTTCAATACGTTCTTTCTTTCATGATAAGAACCAGGGGTTGAGAGACAGCTTGGGGCAGTGGATAGAGCATTGGGTTTGGAAGCCAGAAGGCCTCGCTTCCAGTCACACGCAACCTTGGGCAAGCTGATTAATCCCTTGGAGTCTCTGTTTCCACATCTACAAAATGGCAGAAGTAGCACATGTGGCGCCTACTTTGCAGAGTCATTGAGAGTCCCAAATAGGATAATACCTGGAAAGCACTTCACTATAGAAGCGCTCTAGAAAGGGCAGCTTGGCTTTCTTCAGATGGCCTAGAAGACAACGGGCCCAATAAGATGGTGGGGAAATGGGACTTGTGGCTTTGAGGAGATGTCCTCATTGTTTGTGTCACTGGTTTTTGTGAAACCCTATGCTTCCACACAGCTGCCTACTCTAGATCTGACCACATCACTCCCCCACTCATGTAGTTCCCATGACTTGTTAGTGCTTCAGGATAAAAATACAAATTCTTCTGTATTCTGTTTAAAGCGCTTCACAATTGGGCTCCCTCCTGTACTTCCAGAATTGTTCACTGTGTATAAATTGCATAGATATCTACGTACGTATGCATGTGCTTAGACACCTGCATAGACATACGTGTATATGTGGCTATATGCTCATTGTCTGTGGCTCTCTTTCATGCATGTTGGATTCCAGCCAGAAGGGTCTTCTTGCTCTATCTACCTCCTGTGCAACATTCCATCTCCCCTCTTACCCGTGCCCAAGGGCCCCCTTTGCGTGGAATGCCCCTCCTCTTCACCTCTGTCTCTTAGAAGCTGGGCTCCAATGCACCCCTCCCCCCAACATGAGGCCTTTCCTAATTCCCATCCCAAGCTGCAAATGCCTCTTGTGGACCTGGAAATGACCTTATTTCCTATATATCTTATACTTGCTTTTATGTGTACGTGTTATTTTCCATTATGGAATATAAACTCCTGAAGAGCAGGGACCATCTCCTTTTGTCTTTGTACCCTCAGCTTGTAGCAGCGCCTGGCGTAGTAGGTGTTTACTAAATGCTTGTTGAATGACTGATTGATTGATGAAAAAACCCACTGCCGTTGCTTTATATTCCAGTGCTCTGTCTCTTGTGGTCGGGGTCATAAACAACGAAATGTGTACTGCATGGCAAAAGATGGAAAACATTTAGAGAGTGATTACTGTAAGCATCTGGCTAAGCCTAACGGGCAAAGAAAGTGCAGAGGAGGAAGATGTCCAAAGTGGAAGGCTGGAGCCTGGAGCCAGGTGAGCGATGACTTCTCCTCTCCCGAGTCCATAGTCTTCCTTAGCTGACTCGCTGGTACCAAACAGGGGAGGTGTTGTTTCTTCTGCATGTGGTCTGTGTTGTTCTTCCAAAGAAGGGTGGAAGAGGGAGGAAAACACCTTCAGAAAGTCCCCAATGGTTGGGAATCGACCCAATTTAGAACAGGTAGCCATCTATCTGGTCAGAAGCTGGGCTGAAAGTTCTTTGAACTCCCTCAAGACAGGATTTGCTCAGTAAATGATCAGTACAATCAAGATGAAAGTGGGACTTTACCCTACTTAAGAGAGCAGACCCTTTTTCAAGAGTCTTAGATGTTTCCATGTATATGGGAGCAATTGGTAAGCCAGTTTCAGTCCTCTTTATCTATTCATTAAAGCCGACCCCCTAAAAGAACTATTAGCCTTTACTTGACAACATTTCTGGCTTGATTGTCATTACTTGCATACTTGAAAGTAATGAAGCTCTTTGAAAAGAATATAAGCTTAAACAGGTCTTTTCCTCAATTGATAAGACTTAACAGGATTTTTCTGTACATCAGTAGATGAAAAATCAAATAGGTTGACCTTCCAAGGGCCCCAGGACATAGTCTCTGATAAAGATTCTTTGAGAGGTTACACATTGTTAAACAGGACCTCAAGCATATTTGGACATGACCACATTAACATGGTAATGATTTTGGCATTCCCGGTTTCAAAATGGAAAAAAAAAAAAAGAAATGAACTTGAGAGGTTTGGGTCCCTGGCATTTTTAGGAAATGAGCAAACCTCTTAGATTTTGTAAAACTCCAGCTGTGTCAGATTTTTTCCCCCTAACCCTAACCATACAGCTAACAACTCAGATTTTCTTTTCTACTCATCTCAGGTTTTCTAGCCATCTTCTAATCCTCTTAGATTTTCCATCTCCAACCAGGCCTCCACCCACGTCTGCTCCACTCAAGAAAAATAAACACATGGGTTTGTTCAGTTTCTGTGCAAAGCCCCTTTAATCCTGCTTAAGCCTTTATCCTAGTGAATGATCAATCTATTTTTCAAAAATCGAACATTCAAAGAATCAGCTGATTCTCCTTCAGACAAATTTGGTTCTTACTCAGGTTTCATGGACCAATTGGATTTCAAAGCTATAGTTCACTTTGGTCCATCATTCCTTAATTGTTTTTATCCCCCTAACTTATTGATATACTTGGTTGGTTTCTGGTCTCTGAACCTGGAGAACATTGGTTTAGTCAGAGAGCCAACAGCATCATTATTTAAGATCCCCCATTAATTAGTTTGTTCTCCGTAAAGTTTCATGCCCTGTCACTTTTCCTTATGGTTCACAATTTCTATCCTTAGCTGCATGTTCACTTATTATTATTATTATTTTATAGAAAAGAGATTAGAAGAATCTTTTGCTCATTATTGGTAAACACGGTTAGCTTTATTTCTAGACTCTCTGGGAGGTAAGCAAAAATCTCCCCCACATTTCTGATCATTAGGCTTAACCACTGGGGGATGACAGTAGGTAAAAGGATTACAAGGAGTGTACTGCCCTGGAAAAGAGCTTCACCTGTTAAGAAATGGTGGCTTGTGGAAGTCATTTCTATAGCTAACAAAGTCAACACAGTTATGTAATGGACTTTGGCCCGCTTTATAATGCATTGATTTGATTTGTTGGAATGTATGATCAAAACACACAGGGCAAGCTGCTGTGCAGTGGGAGTCCATTTGTACCCTTTGGGAAAGGGGCTGGAACGAATTAGAGTCCTGTCATGTACGGGGGAAGGTGGCCTGAACACTTGAGGAATATTGGCATGCTAATGAGCTGACCTGAAACAAGTAGTGACTCTCACACTTAGAAAACAAGAGAAACAGTCCCCCTTAGCCTCAGCTCTTCAGAATTATTGGTTTTCAACTGCGGGATTTGGGGCTTTTTTTGTCTGATGTTCATCTGCCGTTCGATGTCGAGTTGAATCATTAGCATAATTTCTCTCCGTGGCAGAAAGTGAGGGTGGTAATAAAGTTTGTAAAAATGCAAGCTTGCAGAATAAGGTCCTGCCTAACTTTAAAATCTACCAAAAAAAAAAACAAAAACAAAACTATTGAGTTTGCAAGGTTTCTGAGACAGAAATGAGGGGAAACAATAGATTTTGAAGCCTCCTGAAAGTTGTTTTGAAATGTTACACATTTAAAAATCTTAAGCTTGAAAAGGAAATGAGCCATTTATAGGAAAATAACTTCATTGCAAGCTCAGTGGCCTCTCTCATCCCTAAAACCTCATACTCATCCTTTAAATTATTTTTTTAAATCCAGGGTTTTGAAAAACAGTTTTCAACCACTTGCTTTGTCCATCACAATGAGTATGGGTAGCACACAATTAGAGCATTTTATTCCTGTGGCACTATGGAAATTTACCATAAATTTTTATTACCTGTATCATTTCTGTGTAATTGTGCTTTCACAAGAATTAGAAAAATAATAGTGATCATTAGTATTTGTAGAATGTTTGGAAGAAAAAATATCATTGGGGTAGGGGAGGGGAACATGTTTCCCACCCCTGAGATTTCATTAGTGTGGCAAATTGCCAATATGGAAACTCTACAATGATGGAGATCAGCAACTCTTCTCTAACTTAGAGTCTTACAGAGCTGCCTTGGAAGTATTGAAAGGTTCAATGACTTCCCATGGTCACATAGCCAGTATGTATGAAGGGCAGGATTTAACCCTTGTCTTTCTGACTCCTGGGCCTGCTATCCATCCAGCACCATGGAAATTCTTAAATTTGTATGTGTCATGGGCCCCTTTGGCAGTCTGGGAATGCCTACGGACTGCTTCTCAAAATAATGTGTTTAAATACATAAAATAAAATATATGAGATTAGAAAAAGAAGTCAGTTATAGTGAAATACAATGATCAAAATATTTTAAGTTCACAGAACCCCGAAACTACACTATCTTGTCTTCCTTGAGGATTCAAAATAGAATATAGATGATTAGGTTTAGGACAACTATTAGAAGAAAACCACTGATAATTTATAAAATGTTGACCCAAAAGCCATCAGAGTATGATTGTACAGACCTCTTGACACAAGCAACATTGATTTATTAATTGTGATTTAAAATTCCTTTAAGGGCCTCTCCTTTTCTGAGATGGAGGCTCTGTCATACATTTATCTTCCCCTCTGCCGAAGCCAAGGAGGCCCCACTTTTGTGTTTGATCTTTGGCAAGGAAATAAACATAGTGTCTACTGTTCTCTTTTTAATTTTCTTTTGTGTGAAAAGGGAACATTCACCTTCCAGTGTGGGGCAAGCAGTGCTCTTGGCCACCTTTTTGGTGGGACAGGGTTTAGGAATCACGTTTTCAAGCAGAGAGCCAAATTCTCATCCACTGAAGTCATGAGGCAATTTGTCTAGTACTCGATAGTGAAGTCTTCACCTTTCTCATTTATAGAGATACAGACTATGTGCCATGGTTGCATCAACACGTGCAGAATGAAAGACTGGAGGAAGACAGCCTATCAGATAATAGGGGCAAATCTTCCTTCCATCCCACCCCTCCCCACACATAGATTCACAGTTAATTGATGTAAAGATTGCCCGGTTTACTTTGACTTTGCTTAAGTTAATTATCTCTTGTCTCTATTAGACTCTTTCGGTATAGGACTAGGCAAGTAAGGGTAGTGAGCAAACAGCTTGGTGCCATGGAAAGAGGGCTAGCTCTGGAACGCTGAAGGCAGAAGTCCTGGTTCAAATTCTCTCCCAATGCTTACTCCCTGTATGACCTTAGAATATGAGTTCATCTACCTGGGTCTCAGTTTCCTCAGATATAAAATGAGAGAGTTGGACTAGATGACCTCGAAGGTCCCTTCCAAGTCCAAATCTATGATCTTCTGACTAGATTGAGGTCCCTTCTCATGTTCTATGATCTTTTGAAAGTCACTTCTAAATACGTTCTCCTTTAAAATTTATTTATTTTTACAAGCACTTATTATCTATTCCTCACACTGCTTCACTCTAATTAAATAAGAAAATCTTGGTAACAAATTTGCCCCTATTGTCCGTGTCTAAAAATCTCTATCTTTCTACATTTTCAATCCATCTTAAGCCCTCCTGCCTCTCTGGCAGAGGGTGGGTTGCATGTTTCTTCTTTGGTCCTCTGGACTAATGGTTGATCATTTCCTGAATTGGAGCTCCAAGGACTCCCAACTCAACATGGTTCCCTTCTAAAAATGTCAATACCCTAATTTATAGGCTCAGGAAATTTAGAGGTCATCTCATCCAGCCTCACATTACAGATGAGGAAATGGAGGCTCAGATTGTTTAAGAATTTCCACGATTCAACTTATTTAAGATTTTACGCAAAAAAGAAAGTCTTCAGGTGTTTTTCTACTTATGATTAATGGGCCTGGAGCCAAAAAAGGATTGCAGAATGGGGACCATGGATTCACAGCTAAAGGTGACCTTACAGTCCATCAAGTCTTCAGACCCCCATTCAGATCTGAGTCCCCTCTGTGCTTTAAATCAAACGTGTTGCTTCCCTCTAAAGCCAGTGATTTAGGGATACCACTGTTGCTAGGTAGAGAATCTGGAGAAATGCACTCAGTTCTCACAGCTCAGTAGTTATGAACTAAAAACAAAATACTTTGCAAACTGCGTCAGTAATCTGTAATGTTAAGAGGATGGCCCTAAAGTATTGCAGTTAGCCTTTCCAGTTTCAGGGCTTTCCTCTGTAAACGAACTGAGAGTTAACAAAAGACACCCCCATCTAGGCAGCAGAATCATGTTAGATCTGTTTGGTTGGTTTTGTTATATTTTTTAATGCCCTTTCTTTAGGAAGGTTTCAGAACTAACGACTGAGAACTCAGTGGGAGCTCAAAATGGACCACCAGTGCCATGGAAATGGTTGTAACAACAAATAGTGTGACACAGGGCACCGCACCTTACAACCCCAACTCTGAAAACATAGCAGAGGCCAGCTGCAATATTCAGCAATTCAGAGCCTGGACCTTTCTGGGCATTTGTAATCATGTCAAATTGTTTCCTACCCATTACTTCTCCAAATGGCTTTGGCATTTTTAAAATATGGCTAATTTTCCCTCTAAAGGTTCACATTCATTCTCTGGACTTTTTGATCTATAGCTAATGTATGGCCATGAAACTGACGAATAGAAATCAACATCTTCCTTGACTTAATTTGCTAAAGCCCAAAATTCCTGTTGTTTCATTTCTCTTGGGTTTTTTTTCCTGCTACTTGATGCATTTTCAAAGCATGAATTTAGGCAAGAATACATTATTCAGCTTATTATCTTCGCTTTATGACCCCAAGTGGATGTTTTCTTAAGGTAGAAGACACTTATCGATCATATCTTAGCATTGGTAATGTACAAGCTACAGACTCGAGTATAGTTGCACCAGAAAATTGGCCTTTGGTAGAGGGATAATCACAAAAACCACTGACGTGAAGAGACGTGGCATGGTATAGTTATCTGGAAGGCTGGTCACAAAGACCTGGAGATGCCTCTGATGCATATTAGTCCTGTGACCACGAGAGAGTCATGGACTTTCCCAATGCCTCCAAGTGTCTGTTTAACGCTATACCTTCAAAGGAAATGGCCACTGAATGTCAGTGAGAGGAGTTTTCATCAAAGGAGTTCCTTTTAATAGTTGAAGTCACAGGTGTGGACTCCCCTCTTTAAAAAAAACAACAGGCATTTATATATTGTTTAAAAATTTGGAAAGCATTTAAAACATATTAATTCCTTTGAACTTCACAGGAATTCTGTTGTAGGTAGTAAAAAGAGGTAGCTTGCTGGAGTGTTAGCATGTATGCCCCTCACCCTCCCAAGTCCTCCCAAAACTCATCATGTTTTGTTTTTTCTTTTAGACTATTAAAACATTTTTAAGGGTTTAGGCTCAGTCTAACAGTAAGTCCTAGGTTAACATTCCTGCCACATATCTGCCGTTTAACAGAAATCTACATAGGGCTTTGGTTGCTATGGATTATTAATCAGACAATTTATCCTAGCACATGACTGCCTTCTGCATTGAAGATGCAATATCCCAATTGAATGGCAGCCAAATGGTTGGTTTTTCGTTTTGCCCTCTGCCTTCAATGGGATTTCTGTCATTGGCAAAGTAGTTACCCTATAGCATGGCCTTAAACACCCACTTCTCAGCAGGCGCTCTGTTTTTGGTAGCACAGACTTCATATCCCTTCATCTCCACCATCCCTGGGGAGTAAAATTGGCTTAAAAAGCCTGATTCTTTGTGTTCCCCAGATGTATTAACTCCCATTTCCATGGTTCAGCCTCAGGTAATGCTATCCATGCTTATTCATAATCTTTGCCCGTTATCCAATTAGCTTTCCTATAAGCCTTTAAAGGCTGACAGCCATATCAGTGTTCACGTGGGAAATATTTGAATAAATTTGGATGCATGGCCAGCCTTCTAAACAAGGGCACTTTTATTGCTAAGTATCTGTAATGGAAAAAAATGATTATTTGGAGGAATTCATTTAGTTATGCTTTATGATGTTTTCTGATAGTGAATTCTCATTAGTCTTACCCAATGATGAATTTTCCTGCATGCTAATTGAAAGAGGATTTTTGCATTGTGTCAGCAGCTTAATTCCATTATTCACGAAGTTCCATTCAGATGTATATGGCCTTAATACATGTTAAACATGTTTGTTAGTGGCAGCCCCATTAAAGAAGGTGGAGATAGCCCTATAGTTTGGCAAACGTTTTTAATGGCCAAGAATGCCCATCCTAATCATATGATGTTTTTCCTTTCTTATTGTCTAAACCTTAATAAAAGCAATCATTCTCATCCTGCTCACAAGTGAGATTATGGAACCTCACCATAAAGAAACCATAAAAAATTAATTTAGAGAAGAGTTAATTGCAGATTTAATGTGTTGTATTGTGAGGTTGGGTCAATAAACTATTTCCATATGATTTACATTATCTCTTCAAGGGCTGAAAACACTTAAGAAAATGTTTCTTTTTTCCTCTCTCCCACCACTCTGGCCTCTTATTATATGCATCCATCTTTGCAAATAGACACCAATACAAGAATGAAATGGGGTGGGAGAACATTTTGCAAGGCAATAGATGAGAAGAGTTACCTTCTACTTACGTGACTATGAAGTGTTCAATAATTTCTTTTAGATTTCCGCAGGTTTTTCTTTTCAAAATAGTTCTATGAAACTCCAGTCTTACCCTATATTTTAATTCTCAAGCCCCCCAAATCCTCAGACACAAATCATTTTTGTTTTTCACTTAATGTAACATCCCCGTTTTTATATTGTGCCGATATTGTCCTTGATTTTTTCCCTTTTCATTCAGATTTACTTCTTAGAGTTTCCAATGACAAAGTGGTTGGGATTTCTTGCTTCAGTATTGACTTCTGGGGCTTGAATATAAACACATAAACCCCAAATTTTGCATTTTTCTAGAACTAAGACACTGTCTTTGATCACTTTCTTTGGAAATGATCAGAAATAGCCCAGATAGTTGAAGGTTTTTCATTAGGAATGTAAGCCTCTTTTCCATCCTGTCTCCTTCCCTCCCCCCCCTCCCGAAAAAAAAATATAAGAAGCTCCCACTTACTCTGTCTGTCTCCTCAGTGCTCCGTGTCTTGTGGCCAAGGAGTCCAGCAGAGGAATGTGGACTGTCGGACTGGAGCCCACAAAACAAGGGAGAGCGATTGCAACCTGTATGCCAGACCTGCATCCGAGCAGACCTGCCACTCCCCGGCATGTCCACTGTATACTTGGAGGACAGAGGAATGGCAAAGTGTAAGTAGAGGGCCGAGGCAGGCAGCTGTCAGACGTCCTTCCCTCTCTGATCCCCACTCCCCACCCCCAATGTCCACCGGCCGGCATCACGTTACTTCTGCTGTGAAGTCCAGCCACTGAGAAGGATGTCGGCTCTGGCTCCAGCAGAGTCCTCTGTCAGACAGCCAGGATTTACGGTACCTGGGGTGAGAGTCCTTTTCATTTTTATACAATGTAGTGATGGTGTTCTGAACATTCAAGTTTGGCTAACTGTGAGGAAAGAGTCCAACTCGTTCAGAAGGAGGGGAGGATGAGAGAATAGATTAAAAGGAGGCGGAGAAAAACCTTTCAACTCATGCTGTCCCATTTTTGTTATAAAGAAGTTCACAGCAGACTTCAGTGAGGTCCCACACAATACTTTTCTTCCTGGGTGCCTCTCAGTGGACTGTTGTGTGGACAACAGTTGTTGTCCCTAAAACTTCAGTTAATTTCCAAGGGTCTGAGAACTTAAAAAAAAAAAAACACAAAAGTATGTGGTCTGAAGTAACTGCTCATCAGAGTCACAATGAATAGACTGTGTTGTTTTGTGAGTTTTTCCACTCGAAGTTAATATTTGGTTTAGGAAAAGTATGGTACAATGGCGAAGAGCATGGACTTTGGAATCAGCAGAGCTTGGCTGAAATTCTTACATCTGACACTGACTACCTGTGTTAGCACTGGGCAGTTTAGTTACCCTCCAGCCTAAGCCGCGGCTTCCTCACCCATACAATGGAGGCGTTGGATTAGGTAACCTCTGGGATCTCTTCTAGATCCATAGTTATGGTCCTATGACCTGGGGCTTGGATCCCAGCTCTGTCACTTACAGCCTGTGTAACCTTAGTCAAATCATACAGAATATCTCTGAAACAATCATATTGCATTATATCCATTATATCCAGCAATTTGTTCTGCCGTTCCCCCAAATGACAGACCCCTACTTTGGAGGAATCTTTATTCTAGGAGAGCTTTTAGAATAAGATGTTACAGGGTTTTTGGAGGTTTACCCAGGAGTAGAGGGAGAAAGTATGTCTTGTGGACTCTTCCATCCCTGAGATCTCATAACAATCTTACTGTTTTCCCTTCCTGAATCTGTTCTTCCTTCAGTTCTACACACACACACACACACACACACACACACACACACACACACACACACACACACCTCTTTTACACCATTTCTACTGATTTTCTCCCTTCTTTCTCACTCCTAGAGAAGCAATTACTTTCTACCTTTTAAAGGTAAAACTTGCCAATTCTTTAGGTACCAAGTATGCAAGGTATGGCTGTCTAGGGTGCTTTCTTATCTTCTTCCTTTAAACCACTTCTTTCCCTGTTAGCACTTGGGATGGGGGGAGGGATTTTGGTATCTCTACTAAGAGTTATGAGGGATAGATGAAATTAAAATTGGTCTATTGGTAAAAGAGGGAGAGTGTGGTGGAATTGTCAGTGGTTTTCAGTCCATTTTACTATTCCATTGTACTCTAGAGCTAGCTATATTTAACAAATCAGGGAGGGATAACTTAGCAAGGTCAGCTCTCCATTTCTTCTTAAGGGCGGTACCAACATGATTGACCCAATGTGAAGAGGAGGAATGCCTCCCTTTGTCTTTCTTTTAACCAGAATATCACCTTGTCTTTCCCTTTGATATTCTAACTTTAGGTCTTTCTCCCTTTTCTCCCCTCACAATTTTCTTCTTTCCTTCTGTTTCTTTCCTTCCTTCTTCCTTTCCTTCCTTCTCTCTTTCTCTTTCTCTCCCTCCCTCCCTCTCTCCCCCCCACAAACCTGCACCAGATTTAAATCCAGCTAAATGTTTCAAGCCCTGAAAAGCAAGCAGGCATTGGGAATGGCTCTAAGCTGAGTACTAACACCTTGGCCAAATATTTTCAATTCTTGAAACAACCGCAAGAATGAAAATTTCAGTCCTCAGTCCATGTCGCAAGTTCCTCTTGAATGCCAAAGAATGCAAATCTTGTCTTGAACACATTAGGCAAAATGATCTCCCTTCCCCTCCCCCCCCACAAACTGAATAAGCCCATGAATTAATTTCGTCTGCAGGCAATGTTTGTTTGTTTATTTGCTTATTCTCCTTTGAAATGATTCCATTTGCTGAGGATAAAAACAGAATGGTCAATGGATCGAGTACCCATGGAGGTCTCCCCCTTGCTCCCTCCCTCACAATATTTTTCAAAGAAGCCAGACAGAGTTTTCTCTAGCACTGAAAATATTAATGAAGCACTTGTTTAGATAAGGACATCAAGCAGACTGACTCTAGTGTTGAATTATCTGACTAGTTTCCTGTGCCATGTATATGCAGGCAGAAGTAGAGGATTTGAGGAAGGTCAGGCTGTGGGCATCACAATGTAGCAGAGAATGAAAGGAACCTGGTGGGAGGGGCACCAGGCAGTAGCCTATTCATAGCCCTTCCAATCCAGTCCAATATTTTTTAAGCACCTAGTATGTGCTGGGTGCTATGCATGGTACTGGGGGTGCAAAAACAAAATTAAAACCTGTCCCTGCCCTGCAAAGGGGAGAGTTAGCAGTATAGATACTAGGAGAGAAAGGTACCCATTGGTAAGCAATCCATAGTGAAGTTTCACATTCAGATCCATAGAGGAGACATGTTCTTAGCCATCCATGATAATGATGAGGATAAAAAGAGAAGAAAAAGAGAAAAAGAGAGAAGTAGAGAATGACATCTAGTTCTGACCTTGGGGTGATTGGGAAGATGATAACATCCTCGAGAATGATAGGAAAAATAGAAAATAGAAAGAGGGGAGGACTTACAAGAAGTGAGAATAGGTTAGTTTGGTCATGTTGAGTTTAAGATGTCCATGGGACATCCAGTTCAATCCATTAATTAGCAAATGTTTATTGAGTGCCTTTGGAGTATGAGGGGACTTTGTTCAAGTTTCCTCTTTACTCTGGCATTAATAATAGCTCACATTTATATAGCAGTAAGATTCACAATGTACTTTATACACATTAGATACACATAGATCATTAAATCCTCTTAACATTATGAGGTTGGTGCCATTATTCTCACTCCTAGTTTGCAGATGAGGAAGCAGAGAGGTGAAAAGCCCTGCCTATGGTCACACCTTGTGCACCTGAGGCTAACTCTGTATGCACATTTCTGCTGACTCCAAGGCCAAAAGCTTTCAACTCTGCTAACTCTCCTTCAGTGATAGGTGGGCATTCAGGAATCATGTTGTTTTTTCCACATGGTTCTTAGGTCTGGGCACTAAACAGTGGCAGTTCTTAAAGTCCACGCATGATGGACTACGATCTGGTGGTGGTTGGAAAAATACTTCTTTATAAGTCACTGTTTAACAACTACCATACAGCTGTTGTCTGCTTTCTGAGTGCCTTGTCCTATCCTTGCTTCCAAGTATTTTTTAAAAAATGAATATGTTTTTGGAAGGAGGCTCTGTAGAAAGGGAAAAAAAACAGCCTTTTTGTTGCCTAAAAAATTATGAAAGCCCAGATTTGTCTTTGTGGGCATTTCTTGGGGTCTTCCACATCCCTTCTTGCTGACAGATGACACGGAGGGGAATGTCAAGAAACATGACAGCCCACACACAACTTCACCTAAACTAGGTGATCCCACCCAGCTTGAGGCTTGTGATTTTCCTGGGTGCCTCATAGTGCAAAGTGGGACTTCCTTACATCTGGGGATAGAACATTTTCTCCATCTCCTGAAAAATCCCACCCCTATGTAATTACACTCTTTTCTGGATCAGCTGATTACCAGAATCTAAGGCATCTGAAAAGGGGCTCTTGAATGATGCTGGAGATCCCCAGAGAGAGTAATTTGTGCATTTCAACGACCACTAGAAAAGGCAGAGGAAGAGATCTATCTACCCACGTCGAAAAGGGAAATACCACCAGGGAAGCATTGGGTTTTCAGACTTCAAAGAAGACATTTGAGGGAAAGGCTATACAATATATAGATCTGGTGAATATTTGTTTATGTGTTTAAACATTTACTTGGCCCTCAGAAAGATTTCTATGAATAATAAACGGTAAGCTGAGAATAAAAAAATGCTCAATTACCTTTCATTTATTGAGAGACTTTTGGCAAGAAGGTTGCCCTCTCTGGCCTCAGTTTCCTCATCTGTAAAATGAAGAGTTTGGGCTAGGAGCATCTGAGGTGGTTTCCAGCCCTAGCTCAGTAATAATCCTCAGTCTGCCTTTCTGGGCCTCAGGTTGACTGTTTGTAAAGATGGCGACTAGACCACCCTTCTGGACACATGAAGCTAATTTGAGGCATCAATTCAAAAGTACTTTGAGCTATTTGAAAGAGAGGTACTTTACTCATTCCTTAAGCTCTCAAGCTGATTTCTTAAAGAAAATTTCCATCACACACCTCCTCAGGAAACTCTGGTAGGATAAAATACAAAGTCCTCTGCTTGGCATTGAAAGCCCTCCGCCATCTGGCTCTAGTCAGTGGTCTATTTGCTGTTTCCCATATATGTGTTCCATTTCCTATCTCACACCTTTGCACAGGCTATATATCCCCAAGGCCTGAAGGAAATAAGGAGGTAAATATGCATTTATTAAGGATCTACAATGTACCAGGCTCTATGCTAAACATTTTACAAATATTATTTGATCCTCAAAACAATCCTGGGAGGTATTTTTTTATTTTACAGTTGGGGAAACTGAGGCAAACAAGTTAAGTGACTTGTCCAGGGTCACCCAGCCAGTAAGTGTCTGAGACTGGATTTAAACTCAGGTCTCCCTGACTCCAGGATCAGCGTTCTATCCATTCCATCACCTACCTGCCTACTGTCTCCTACACTTTCTCCTTACTGTTACCTTAAGGACTCCCTAGGCATAGAAAACAACAGGCAAAGAAACATGCAGGAGAACTCAGGCCATCCATGTTCGTGGGGGCAGAAAGTGATGCAGTTTGTTGGCCATCATATAAATTAAATGGAAAAAAAGAATATGAGATATTCTTGTAAAAATGATGGGGAGGCAGGCTGCTATGGGCCTGGAATATTAGTCAAGGGTGTTTGACCTTTACTCAGTAGGAAAATGGGAGCCATTGAAAATTATTGAGTTGCAGAGAGGTACAATATGAATATTTCTAGATCAATCCATGTGAAAGACCATTCTAACAGCAAAATACAGGATGGATTGGAGAAGGAGAGGGTGTAGGAAGGCAAATCTTTTGGAGAGCAACAGACGAGGAAAGTCCCGGTGGGAGTGAGAATTCATCCATTTAACAAATACTTTTTGAATACCTACTATGTGAAAGGCACTGTGTTAGGGATACGAAGTCAAAAACAACAATGCCTGCCCTCAGGAACCTTACATTCCAACACTGAACTCTAGAAATATGGAATGTATCTTTTATTTTATTACAGAAATTTTCTTCCCCTTCTGCTCTGGTCATAGCTCTCTGCCAACCCAGGTTCCCAAATCCAGAAGAGTTAGGAAGGCCTGTGCCTCTTGGTTACATGCATTTTCTTTGAGTGTATAGTGAAAAGGAAGAAAAAACTCAAATGATTCATTAACCAGAAGAAAAGGGATTTGAAAATCTGCCTAGGGGGCTGGTGATGAGCATTCCAGTAAAATCAAATAACCGAATGTGAATGTTTACAATTTTAATTTTTATTATCATTGGTTTCTATAAATTAATGAGAGGTGATGTGAAGGTGCTATAACTACATCAGAAAAACAGGGATTTTGAGGGAGTTTGTTTATTTGTTTTTCTCCCAGTGCTAAGGAAGGATGACTTTGTTCTATCCACATCTTTTTACCCACAATCCCTTAGAAGCAGATTGACCTTCTGGAGTAGAATGAAGTTAACTGGTTTGTGGGGTGAACCAAACCCACAGCCTCATTCTTCAACCTAATGAGCTAACCAGCCATAGTCAGAAAAGGAAGAAGTCCCCAGTTGAGAGTTTCAAACAATCAATCAGGCAACACATATTAAGTGCCTGCTATACGCCAGACCGTGTGCTGGGTCCTTAGTAGGTGTTTCATTTTGTGAACCGATAAGTTACTGTTTTATGCTTAAGAACTCTGAATCCCAAATTACTCTTAAAATGACAAAAAGAAAAATACAACCATGACATTGAAGTTATAAGAAGGAAATCCCATGAATAGGAATTGCTTTTGGGACCTTAGGGAGGTGCTAGAGTCTCAGAATGCTCATTGTCATCACACAGGACCTGAAAGGCTCTCTCCTAACCCTCCCCCCCCCAAAAAAATCAATTTTCATTATCGGATTTCCAGAAATAATTTTGTATTTTACATTTCTTTATTCCTTTGATTTTTTCCATTTGCTCACTGATTTACGACTAAGGAGCAAAAAGCATTTGTTTTGAATGTTTGAAAATTCATTTTCAGCCCTTGGTCCCAACTGCAAAAGAATTCAGCACAACCTCCTCAGAATATGACCCAATTTCCTCTTAGGGGGCTGTGATTTTCTGCCCACATAGTCTGGAAAATAAAGGCAGGGAAAAACAATCAACCTCACACAGCAGATTATGTGACATCGCCTTGGTTGGCTTCTCTAAGTTTGGGGCCCTTCCTACTGATTGTGGTGTTTTCAAGTTCTTGATGACTGGAAAGCAGTCTTCCAGGCATGAAATTTTCAGCCCATTACAGCAAATGATTCCTTTCACATCAGCGTCCGTGGGCTAATCCAGTTAGTTGGAAATGGTAACACTTTGGAAGCCTTTTACAGCTGATAAGTCCTTTTCCCCATTTTTCAGATTAATAACTGGTAGGGTCTTCTAGCTCCACTTTGAGGAAGTACATTAAAAGGAAGATGTTGCCTGTTAGCATTAGCTGTCCCAGGGAGCTCAGCTCCTCAATTATTTCCTCTTTCTGAATTATGGAATATCCTTGAATCAAGGCAGCCTAGAATTATTAACTATTCACTTGGTCGTATTTTCCAAAGATCCATAATGACATTTCAGAATATCTTTTGGAAATTAAAATGATGCTGGGGTCCTTTCAGGCCAGCTACCAGAATGCCCTAGTCTGAGGGTTCTTCTATTCTATTCTTCTGTTCATTAAAATAATGAATCTCTTTTTGAGTCATGGACCCTTTCGGCTATCTGGTAAAATCCATGGATCCTCTTCTCAGAATAATAGCTTTAAAACATAAAATAAAATAGAGGATTACAAAGGTAACCAAAAGTTAGTGAAAATAAAGGTATAGTTTTTTTCTATACAATTTTATGGACCCCCTCTTTGCCCCTACCTCCCCAGAAATCTTTCCACAGACCTGTAAGACTGTGGATCCCAATGTAAGAACTGTTATTCTAAATCAATGGGTTCTATGACTGAGGAAACGGGACTGAACAGTAGGAAGAAAGAAATTAGCATAACCATAAACTGATATACATTAAGGCAGGTTCCATTTTGGGTTTTTTGGTTATATAGTTCTGGCTCTTGGTTGTGACTCAGGCCTCTATTAATAAGAGAAGGGAAGGAAACAAACATTTATTAAGCACTTACTATGTGCCAGACACTGTGCTAAGTGCCTGACAAATATTATCTCATTTGGTCCTTGTTACAACCCTGTGAGGTGGGTGCTATTGTGATCACCATTTACAGTTAAGCAAACTGAGGTAGACAGAGATTAAATGACTTGCTCACAGTGTCTAATGAGTGTCTGAGACCAGATCTGAACTCAGATCTTCCTGACTTCAGGCCCAGCATGCTATCCACTGTGCCACCTAGATGTCTATCATCATCCCCAGTTTTACAAATGAGACAAACAGAGGTTGACTTTCCCAATGTCACACAAACTAGTAAGTGTCTTGAAATAGGATTTGAACTCAGGATTACTGGCTCCAGACCCAGCGTGCCATCCACATGTCAGCTGGCTGCCAGACAATAATATGATACTTCAGAGTTTCCAAGGCACTTTATGTGTCTCATTTGAATCTTGTGAGGTTGTTTATTATCATCCCATTTTACAGATGAGAAAGTTGGTAAAATTATAGAGAGCTGAAAGGCTCCTCAGAGGTTTGCCAGTACAACCCCTTCATTTTACAGATGAGGAAGCTTACATAACTTATCTAATAAATGTCTAAGGTGGAATTTGAACTCAGATAGTTCTGCCTCCCAAGTCCCCCACTCTATAATCCACTTGACCATAACTGCATCTTAAAATCATTAGAGGCTTTATTTTCCCCTATCATGCCCTTCATTACTTCATCTCAATTCCTCAGGCACTAGAAGAGTAATGTTTTTATCAAGGGCTTAACCATCCTTCAGGAATGGAGCAGAGGGAAACGGTAAGCCCATGGCATTAATGAATCATGGCTGCCTCATCCCAAAATGCTTATTTATTTGCTCAGATGAGGGCATCACAGCCTAACAGAAAGAATACAGGTGGAAGAATACTTAGAAGGCCTGAGTCGAAGACCAGCCAATGTGATGTGGGAAGTGTTCTTTTTTTCAAAGAAAATTTTTCATCAATAAGCATTTTTTCTTCCATTTTCTTCCCCATTGGGAGAAAGGAAAACAAAACTCTTGTAACAAACATACATAGTCAGGCAAAGCAGATTTCTGCATTGGCCACATCCAGAAATGTGTGTTTGATTCTGGATTGGAGGGAGTCTGCCGTGTCTAGGCAGGAGGATGGACTGCGTGCTTTGTCTTTTGGAATCCTGGTTGTCACGTCACAAGTCAAAGTTCTCAAGTCTTTCAAGGTCATTTGCTTTTACAAAACACAATGTGTTTTTCAAAGGATTTAATAGAGAAAAAGACCTTCAAGTTTCATTCCAGTTTCCTGATTTTATAGATGCACATAATAGCATCATAGACTTAGTTCTAAAAGTAGAAAAAGGTAGAAAAGGAACAAGCATTTATTAAATGCCTACTGTGTGCTTGGCTATATGTTAAACATATTATCTCATTTGATCCTCACAACAGCCCCGTGAGGTAAGTGCTATTATTATCCTCATTTCATAGATGAGGAAACTGAGGTGGATAGAGAGAGATTAGACTTAATATTAAGTATCTAAGGCTGCGTCTGAACTCAGATCTTCCTGATTCCAGACCCAGTGCTCTATCTACTGTACCACCTAGGCACCATTTAGTTCAGGGATTCTCAACTTTCAGAGTGACCCCTTTGGCAGTCTGGTGAAACCTATGGGCCCTTTCACAGAATGATGCAGAAAATAACGTACATACAATTACAAAGGAATCTAATCATAGTGACATGGAGTTAATAAATATCGAAGAAGTCTTTATCTGGTCATGCCCCTCATTTCACAGATGAGGAAACTGAGACCCAGGGAGGTTCACTGAAAAAGTTGAAATGCCGAGGTCACTCAGGTCATAAAGTCCAAACTAGGGTTTAAGCCCAGGTCCTCTTTCTCCAGATTCTACATTCTTACCACTGTGCAGTAAGAACGGGAGTCTGATTTCTGGTGCTCCTGGTATAACGTTATGTTCTTGGGTTCCACAGCCCACAGTTTGTAAATCACTATTATATAATAAAGTTTGCACCTAAGCAACAGATGGTAGTGTTCCTCAGTGGCCCAAAAGGCCAGACTCCTTCCAGAGGTGACTGACTTACACCCACAAAGTAGCTTGGCCACATGGTGAAGGCTTCCTTTTGGCCAACACCTTGACCTTTCTGGACACTCTGCAGGTGATGCCCAGATGGTTGTCCAGCGATCCCTTCTTGTGTTTTTACAGTGTACAAAGACGTGTGGAGCAGGCTCCAGGTATCGAAAGGTGGTGTGCGTGAATGGAAACGAGGTTGAGGAACACAGCCTGCACTGTGACCCGAGCCAGCGGCCAGCAGACCAAGAAAGCTGCAGTCTGCAGCCGTGTGAATACATCTGGATCACCGGCGAATGGTCGGAGGTACCTCTCTCAGCATGGCGGGCAGCAGCACGCACTAGGCCTGGGAGCAAGCAGGCCCAGGCCTTAGCTGTTTAGGGGAAGCGGCATCTCCACCATTTATAGGGAGACCTTTGGGAAGCTAGTTCTCTCCTTTCCCTGCTTCCTTAGGAAAGGCTTGGTGACATAATTAGTTAGAAATGATAATCATGCCTAGAGACATAGCATGAGATGTGGATTGTGAATGGGACCTTGGAGGGTTCAAATCCTGCCTGAGAAACATCGTGACAGTGGGACCCTCGACAAGTCATTTAACTTCTCATTGCCCTGGACAATTTTCTAAGACTATATAGGTCAACAAGCATTCCGTAAGTGGTTACTATGTGCTCAGGATACAAAGAAAGGAGGGTAATGTCCCTGCTCTAAGGAGCTTGTTCTAATGGGGGAGACAACAAGCAGTTGTGTCCAGAAAAGACATGTACAAGGTAGATTCGTGGTGCCAGTGAGGTGGCACCATGGATAGAGTGCCAGGCCTGGAGTTAGAAAGACCAGAATTCAAATTCAGCCTCAGACACTTACTAGCTATGTGACCCTGAGCAAGCCACTTCACCCTGTTTGCCTCAGTTTCCTTATATGTAAAATGACATAGAGAAGGAAATGGCAAACCACTCCAGTATCTGTGCCAAAAAAAGCTCAAAGAAGAGGTCACAAAGAGTCGGACACAATTGAACCACAAAAACAACAAAATGGAAGGACCTCTTGCAGTGAGGTTTAAGTTGAGTCCTGAAGGTTGTTGAGGAGCCAGGGGGCAGACATAAGGATGGAAGGCATTCAAAGCCTGGGAGATGGTCAATGAAAAGGCAGAGACAGGAAATAACGTGCCATTTGTGAGGATAACAGGCAGGCCAGTGTAGCTGGATCATGGAGTATATGGAGGAGAAGAAAGGGTAAAAAGGCTAGAAGGGTAGGGAGGGCCAGGTTTTAAAAGCCAGAGTATTTAATATTTACTCCTGGAGGTAATAGGGAGCCATGGGAGTTTACTGAGCAGGGGAGTAACACAGTTGGTCATTCCTATGCTTTAGGAAGAGCACTTTGATAGCAGAGTGGGGGGTGGACTGAAGAGACGAGAGGCCAGGAGACCACCAGAAGGCTTTTGCAATAGTCTAAGTGTGAGGTCCTATACCAGAGCCTCGGTTGTGTCAGAGGAGAGAAGAGGGACATATATGAGGGATGTTACAAAGGTTATCCATCTGTAGGGCTAGTTCATACACTGCGCATTCCTTGTGCCAATTAAATCACAGGTCCAGGTACAAAAGAAAATCAAGTCTGGTCACCAGCATGGCAGCTTCATAAGTAGGCAGTGCCAGAGGGGCCAGGCAATCCAGAGTAATTTGAGAAAAATTGCAAAGGCTTCTTGGGTCTAAATAGTCTCCAAAGTATAAGTTATACAGAGCTTGCCAATTTTCATTGTGGAAGGAAGTTTCTACATTCAGATTCCGTGGGGGTGGCCAGTAATGCTTTATTGTCTTTTTTTTTTTTTTTGGCTAGGCAATGGGGTTAAGTGACTTGCCTAGGGTCACACAGCTAGTAAGTGTTATGTTTCTAAGGCTGGATTTGAACTCGGGTCTTCCTGAATCCAGGGCCAGTGCTCTATCCACTGGTCCACCTAGCTGCCCCTTGCTTTATTGTCCCAACTATGTGCAGAGGGTTTGACCAACTGATGGGGTGGGAATGGATCAACAAGGACCTCCCCCAACATCATGGGACCCTATCAATCGGGATGCTCCTTGAGGGCAGGGACTTCCTTTGCCTCTTGTAGCCTGAGAGCTTAACACAGAGCCTGGCACTTAATAAATGTTTGTTGGTTGATTGATTGATAAGGGTCTGCAGCAGGATTCAAACTCAGATCTTTATGACTTCAAATTCAAAACTCTATCCACTTAGAGGTTACATAATGACGAGATCATAGGTCCAGAGCTCAAAGGCCCTTCAGAGGTCATCTAGTTCAGTGTACTCATTTTACAGATGAGGAAACTGAGGCCTGGAAAAGTCAAGCAACTTGCACAAGGTTATGTGAGTAACAAGTAGCAAAGCCACAATTTGAACGCAGGAGCTCTCACTTTTTCCTTTGCCCCATGTTATTTCTCTGTTGGAATTAAATTTTCTTTCTGGGGGTCTTCACACTCTACAGTTCTTTCTCTCTAAAGACTTCCTGGTCTAACAAAGCCGGTAGTTCTCTGAGATCTGTCCTCACTTAAACATGAAGCTCTATGAGCGAGATTGACAGGAATGAACTTCTCCCATCCTCCCTGGGAGGTGGCCTGCCTTTCCCTAAAGGCATATCTCATAACTCACCTAATTGCACTTCCAGATACCACCTATGCAGGCCTCCGAAATCCCATTCAAAAATGTGTTTTCTGAAGCCCAAGAGACGCGGTGACAGCAGGTCAGCTACAACTCGAGGCTTCTGAGGTTCCTGACCCCTTTTCAGAGGCTTGGATGGCTTGCAAAGAAAGCCTATCTACGTTGGGTTCACACTTCCAGAACTACCTTCCCGTCTCCACTTAGTTTTCTCCATGTAAATTTTAGGTAGTCAAAAACCAAACTGATTCTAATGTTCTGAAATTTTGAAAACAAGCCCCGTACCCTACTAAGGGTGTTGCCAAATTTAAGCAAGTGAACATGCCTTTAGCACTTGCCATCATATAGAAGGATATCTAGGTATATCCAAGGCCTCTGGTCCTTCCCATTACTCTAAATAAAGAAAAATGATCATGTATAAAAGAGACAATAATATATGCTAGTAATAATACCAATTTCTGAACAAATGGAGCACTTTGGGTTCAAAGCAAGGGTTCTTTACCTTCCTGCCATCACTATAGGGTCCATGGACAGATAATTTAGAGGAGTCTATGCCCTGACACGGGGAGGAAATTATATCTTTATTTTGACTACCCTCTAGCTGACATCAAGAATTTCCTTCTTTATTAATTCCTAATTAAAAAAAAACATTTTGAAAAAAGGTCCCTAGGCTTCACCAGATTTCCACAGGGGTCCAGGACACACAAGTAATTTCACACATGTTATCCCATCTTTTCATCAGAATAGCTGGAATGAAAGGAAGAAACCAAAATTATCCTCATCTAATAAATAGGGTACCTGAGGCATGCACCAGTTAAGTGACTCCAGGACAACCATTGATTTGCCAGGTCTCCTGCCTTCCACCACTTTCTCCATAGCTGATGTGTCATTGCATCTTCCTTCACCCCTCGAGTGATTTTCACATGCCTATTTGATCACTTTTGCTTATTTTCCCTCACGTTGGTGTGAGGTGATGGAGAAGGTTATAAAAATGGCCAGGAAACTCTTTAATCATAAAAGAAGAGATCTGTAACCACTGCTATCGTAGGGAGTGGATTCTACCTCGCCTGATAAGGCTATATGAAGTCTTCAGGAAATAGCCAGCTTCCTCCTTTTCTTCTCCCTTTCATCAAGTCTGGAGACTCCTCAGCAAAGAAGCTTCGTGTAATTGTGGAGCTAGCTGTCTATCCCTCGGGGTTGTTCCTCATCCTTCCCTCTGCAGGCTCATCAGTCAGCAGTGGTCCATTCGTCAGTACTGTGATGGTGTCTCTCTAAACCTAGGTCAAAGAAAAGAATTAAGGCAATTAGGGAGAGAGTTAAGAAAATTAGGACAAGAGAATTAAGGCAAAATTGTCTCTGATCCTGAAATCCTCTGGATGGCTGCTTAAAACCTCCAACTTGCCTTTTCATCAGTGAACAAAGCTTAGTTTGATCTGTGGGAGCACAAGAAGCAATTAGGAACATCCTTGTTTCTGAATGATTACCAATGCTTGCATAAACCAAGTAGGTCTCAACACCTGGCATGCTGTCTCAGTGGTGTGGTGGAAAGAATGCTATATTTACTTTCTGAAAAATAGGGATAATAATAACTTACCTCATGGGGTGACTGTGAGGAGCAAATGAGATCACAAAATCAAAGAGTTTTAAGCAGCCATCTAGTTCCGACCCATAGACAGAAGGAATATCTGCTATGTCTGATGGATGAAGATCTCATCTCTACTTAAGTATATATTAAAGAATTTTAGAAAATATATGCATTAAAGAACTTTACAGACCTTAAAGTATTACATAAATGCATGCTGTTTTATATATCGTATTATACAATAATATATTTGATGCAATATATAATACAATAGTATAATATTGGTCAAAATACTCAAGAAAGAGAGCCTATAACCAATCCACTTGTGGCAAGAACCCTAAGCCATCCCAGTCTTCCTCCTCCAGACTTCCTCAGCTTAATGATGTCCTTCCTAAAACGTAGTGTCCAGAACTGAACATAATATTCTAGATGTGGTCTTCCCAGGGCAGAACCCAACAGTTAATGTTCAGCCTTATCCTGAAAGCTATTCTTCTAAATGCCTCTATGGGCCTCAGTTTCCTTATCTGTAAAATGTGGGACTTAGGCTCAATGACCTCAGATCCCACCCAGGTCTAAATCTGCAATGCTATTAGCAGCTCAGTTTCCTCATCTGTAAAACTAAGGAGTTGAACTAGATGGCCCTTGGGCCCTTCCTGCTCTCACATTCTCTGATTTTAGGGGTCCTGATGCTAGCACACCCCATGGCTGGGTGTACTAGTCACTCTATTGGACTCCTGGATTTAACAAGCTGTGCCTCTACTGTCTGTTTTCCCCTGCACTTTGCTGCCATCCAGGGGAAAATGTGTGTGATGATTCTGGATCTAAAACATTTGAGCTTTAAGACAACTCCCAAAATGCACACACACACACACACACACACACACACACACACACAAACACATGCATACACTATATACACATGCATACATATATCCACATACTCACACTCATATCCACATACCCATATGTATACATATACACATGCATGCCATATATGCATGCCCACATAAACATATACATACATATTTGCATCCATACACACATACTTATATACTGACACACATACACTATGTACACATACCCATATACATACATACATGCATATACACATACTCACATATATACATATTTACATACACGTATCTACACTTATGTACACACACACATACACACACACACACACACACACACATACACACACATAAAACCTACCACCACTATTTCTAGCAGTTAGTGTCCTTAACCTGGAAGTGCAGTTAGCAGATACTGAGTGAAATGTCTTTTCTCATCTCCTTGGGAAGCCATTTGTTTGGTTAAACAGTAGCTAGTTTTTACATAGCACCTTACATGTAGTATCTCATTTGACCCACACAACCAACCTGTGAGGTGGAAGTTATCATGCCATTAGAATGGAAGCTTCTTGGGGGCAGGGCACCTTTTTCCATTGTATCCCTAGATCTTAGAGGTATGCCTGGCAAATCATGAATGAGTGAATGAATGAGTGAGTGAATAAATGAAAAAGCATTTATTAAGCACTTAGTATGTGCGAACCACTAAGCTAAGTCCTGAGGATACAAATGGATGTCTAAGCTGGTCCCTGCTTTCACGGAGCTTAGTCTAATATGAGCTTGTTGATTAATTAATCCCCATTTTGCAGATGAGGAAATTGAAGCCTCACAGAGGATGTCATTTAAGGTCACATAGCTAGTAAGTGGTGGATGAAAGGAAGGAAGAGAGGGAAGGAGGAAAGAAGAAAGGAAAGGAAGGAAGGAGGGAGGAAAGAAGAGAGAAAAGAAGAAAGGAAGGAGAAGGGGAGAAAGAAAGAAGGGAGGGAGGAAAGAAGAGAGAGAGGAAGGGAAGGGAGAGAAGAGAGATCCTTAATTAAAACATGCAACTGATTAAGCTGGCTAAAAGAAATAGACTAGATAAGACCCTAATTCCTAAGTTTTAAAAATAATAATAATAAATTATTAATTAACCACTGTGGTTAAAACTGTGCCAACCTGGCACATGGTAGGCACCAAAATGCTCGTGTATTGACCAATTGATTTATTGCTGGGTATGTCTGGGTTGGGTTGGAGAGGCAGCATCTCTACTCCTCGGAGAGCAAAGTGTGAGGCTCCCCCCAAGTAGGGGATCCAGGTTACTGCTGAGCAGCTGAATCCATCCAAGTAATTGTGTGAACTCGTGGGTGCCTGGAGCTAACAAAGTGAAGGCTTTGAGAGGGCTGGTCACCGGGTCAGTGGCAGTAGTGAGGTTAGAGGGCCATTGTGAGCTGCTCTGGGTCATTTCTTGAACCTCTCTCTCTCTCCACAGTGCTCAGTGACCTGCGGCAAGGGTTATAAACAAAGGCTAGTTTCCTGTAGTGAAATTTACACCGGGAAAGATCATTATGAGTACGGCTACCAGAATACCATCAACTGCCCAGGCACCCAGCCTCCCAGCATCCATCCCTGCTTCCAAAGGGAGTGCCCTGTCTCAGCCACCTGGAGAGTTGGAAATTGGGGAAGCGTAAGTAGATGATGGAGTGATGTTTCCTTGATAAATGAAAGTTGGAAGAGCTCTCAGGGCCAGGCAGCCAATCTCTTCTCAGCATCATTCCCGTTAGCACACCCGGGGTGACCTCCTTCTCCAGTAAGGGTAATAAGGTTGGAATGAACTGATGAGAGAAAAGTAACACTGTTCCTGCCTTTCCAAAATTTACTCTATCAGTCTCCCCACTTAGTCTCTTCTACTGAAGTCCCCGGGAGAATTGAATCAAAGAACAACAACAATAATGAATTCTTGGGGAATTTTAAAGCAGAATGCTTTGAGGCATGACTAGTTCATGGTGGCACACAGACCAAACTCCCAAATTCCCTGTGCCCATTTTAGGCCAGGCTTGAGAGGTGGAGGATGGGTGGAGGTTAATGGAATCCAGCAGAGAAAGGAATGGGGAGCAAATTAGGGAGAAGGATGGTGGTTCCAGAGTGAATACAATGGTGAGTCTCTCCTGTTGCTTCTCTATCCTCAATGCATTGTTTGATCTGGTCTTAAAGATGTTTCTTGCTGTGCTTAAAAGCATATTGACAAATAGAGCTCTTTGGACTTGAGTACCAGTTTTGGTATTAGCACCAATTACCAAGCTAGTGACTTAGAGACAGTCATACCAGCTTTGGAGTCAAGAAGCCCTGAGTTTATGTCCTGGCTCTGGAGACTGGTTAGTGACCCTGGGCAAGTCACTTTAGGTCTCAGTGCCCCAGGACTGTCAGATACAGACAAGCTGAATATCTGATACTAATTAAATCAAATTCACATCCAAAAGAAAATTCAATCTGTCTGAAAGAGACTAGCCTCATAGGTGGGGATTGTGTTTGGGGTCTAAGGACTTGGTGCGATTTGAGGGATACTGGAAAAGCTTCTTGGGACTAAATAATCTCTCTGTCCTTTTCCAATCACCGTGCTCCAAACTCCACCATTAGAGATGCATTGCTTTTAGTCTGTGAGGGTTGAAGACTCCTATCAAAATGCCCATACCCTAGGGAGGGGTGAGATACACCTTGCGTGGCGTCAGGTTCCTGTCCAACCACTGCTAGCTGAGGGCAAGGCCCAATGGACATGGAACACAGGCTAGTTTGGGGGTCAGGGTGGGTCTAGGATGGAGATCACCAGGAATACCAGAAGAATAGAGGAGGAAGTAAGAGGGCACCCTCTTCACTTTTGCCTCAAGCTGGCTCTGATTGGATCATATCAGACTCTTCTCTAAGCCATTTTCCATTAAATGGATTAGGAAGATATTCTTAAGTTCTAAGACCATGTTATATTCGTGTAAGGATCCATGAAGGTACTGAAGAACTTTTCTAGCCATCTTGTGGACACCAATTTAGGAAAGCTTTAACTAACTAGGTGGAGCAATGAGGGTTTTGCCCTAGTGAGCCAAAAACTGTAGGCACAATATCATTTGCAGAGTGCTTTAAGATTTGCAAAATGCCTATGTTATCTCACTTAATCTTCCCACCAACTCTGTGAGAAGTAGGTGCTATTATGACCCCCATTTTACAGATGAGTAAACTGAGGATGAAAGAGGGTGGATGACTTACCCAGGATCATCCAGGTAGCAAATATCTGACGCAAGATTTGAATTCCTGTCTCCCTGACTCCAGTTCCAATATGCTATCCAATATGCTACCTAACTGTCCCAAAATATAACAGATGACTTCCTTCAACAGCTAGGAACAGATAAATAAATTAATTACCACTCCCACTTAGCTGAATTTATTTTAATTCTTTCTTTTATTATTTTATGTCACAAATTGTATGTATGTTTTGAGAGCAAACTTTAGGCAATATCCCCCCTGGTCATCATTTGTGCTGCCTCCCTGTGAAACAAAATGCCTGGTTATGGCTCTGAAGTTGAGGAAACAGCTCGTAGATAGATCTCCATGGTGGATTCCATGGGAATTGCCATCCACTCTTATTTTCTGAACATCCCCTGGGGATCTTACCCTTTGGGATGCAGTCTGTTTCTAGTTTCATTGTATTTGCGTCTCTGGAGCATCCAGAGGTGATTCAGCAGGGAGGAGTCATGGTCCCCTCCATTCCTGCCAGCTCATCTCCTCAAGGTGGGGAAGGGGAAGGGGGCCACCCCAAGCCACCCAGCTGACCAAGGTTTCATTTCCAGTGCTCGGTGACTTGCGGAGGGGGAGTGATGCATCGCTCAGTGCAGTGCTTAACGAATGACGACCAGCCAAGCACTCTCTGCCCCATTGAGTTAAAACCTGAAGAAAGAAGAACCTGCCACAGTAACCACAATTGTAAGTCGGCCAGCTGGAATAGATTGTTCTTTGTTGAGTGAAATGGCCTTCTCTCCCCCCATCTCTACCCCCATCATGCTTTTGGGGATGCCAACTTCTTAGAAATGGTGCCACCCACTAAAAGATTTTCAGGTGCCTGGTGTCATTTGTCCTGCAAATAAACAAAACCACTACCTTCTCCATGAAGACTCTCAGGAGTCCCCAGTTGCTAGTATTCTCTCCATCAGTTAGTCAATCAATAAATGAGCACTGACTATACCAGGCACTGTAATAGGTACAAAGGATATAAAGACAAATAATGAATAATCTATACTCTCAAAGAGCTTCAGATTGCCTTACGTTATCTATTTGTGTGTCAGGGAAAGTGGGGAGGAAGGTGGGGAAAGAACAACCAAGGCACCATCTTGCTTTTTCCAAAGGTCTATATATAGTGCCCAAATATAACTGCTGCTTACACCAACCATATAGTCAAAGTGGAACAACCACCCCCCCCAAAAAAAAATTTCATAGAGCTTTAGTCTTAAGTGAATTCCTTTGGTCATTCTGAAGCAAGGACACCCTTCATCTACCTTCCTCGCAAGGCTCTCTGCAGACTTCCTTCTAATGGGCCTTGATTCATGAGAACTCTTGGCTAGATTCCTTCCTGTTAGGTGGCTTTGCCTCTTCAAGGTCCCTCTCACCCTTCTTCACTTCTGGGTCTTCCTCTCAGTTTTGCTCACCAGGGTTCTTTCAGCCTCCTTCTCAGCTGTGTGTTGTGTGTGTGTGTGTGTGTGTGTGTGTGTGTGTGTGTGTGTGTGTATTCTGCCTTCTCTTGGGACTTTTCAACCAAGGGTTCCATGACATCTTTGATCTACTCAATGGATTTTTCCAGTGGCAACCAATGTGGGTATTTCTTCTCTGAAGATTTGACTGCCATGGGACAGATGGGAGAGAAAGGGAACAAGCATTTATTAAATGCCTGCCATGTGCCAGGCACTGTACTAAATGTGGTAACTCCTGACAAAAGTATTCAGTGAACCTGTGACTGTTTTGTTTTTGATGTCCTGTTCCCCAGTGCCTAGGATTGTGTCTTGTATGGAGTAGGTAATTAATAATTGTTTACTGAATTTAACTGAGTAGTTAAACTTTCAATGAGAGAGGAGCATCTAGAAAGTTCATGATTAGATCCTTCCATGCTACTAGCTGGCATTCTTTTTTGCTTTCAGATGGAATGGGAAAATGTAGCCTAAATGATGTTGAATGTGGAAAATTGGCATTATACAAGAATTCTTGGTGTACATTCATTGCTTGTTTTCTAATTAGATTCTAAGCTTCTTGAGGTCAGGGACACAAAGGAAAGAGTTCTGGCTTTGGAACTGGAGCATCTGGGTTCAAATTTCAGCCCTGCCACTAAATATCTCTATGACCTTGGGCAAGTCTCTTTGGGCATCAGTTTCTTCCTCTGTTAAATGAACAGGTTAGAGTAGGTGATCAGTCCCCCTTCAAAAATCTGATAACATTATCATTATATCTTTCCCTATCCCTCATATAGCACATAGCACAATAAATATTTGTCAAATTGTGGTAAATAGACTGAGTCTTACCAGTGGCTTAGCAGAAGGAGTACTAGGCTTGGAGTCGTACAACCTGAGCAAATCTGACTCTGCTACTTTCGACTTCATTGACCTTGGGCAGATCACTTCACATTCTTGGCCCTGAGTTTCCTCATCTGCAAAAGGAGGAGGTTGGGTTAGATGATTCTGGGGTCCCTTTCAGCTCTAGATGAATGAATGAATGAATGAATGAATGAATGAATGAATGAATGAATGAATGAATG